TGGCTCAGCCCCGCTCGCAGCTCAAGCTGCTGGCCCTGGACGGTTACCTCTATGCTGTGGGGGGTGAGTGCCTCTTCACTGTAGAGAGGTACGACCCACGGGCAGACCGCTGGAGCCCTGTGGCACCCCTGCCCAAGGGTGCCTTTGCCGTGGCTCATGAGGCCACCACGTGCAACGGGGAGATCTATGTATCAGGAGGCTCCCTGTTCTACCGCCTGCTCAAGTATGACCCCAAACGTGATGAGTGGCAAGAGTGCCCTTACAACAGCAGCCGTCGGCGCTCTGCTGACATGGTGGCCTTCAAGAGTTTCATCTACCGCTTTGATGTGAGCAGTGGCCGTGGTGGGGAGCAGGGCCCAGGTGGTGGGAGTGGCGGTGGTGTTGAAGTTTTCCGGTATAATACAGTGGCCAAGCGCTGGAGCCAGTGTGCCAGCCTGCGCCCCAGTGGTGGCCCCATCCAGCCCTTCCGCTGTGCCCCGTTGGGCAACACCATCTACTGTGTCAACCGGACCGGCACCCTCCGCTTCAACCTAGCCCAGGACGGTGAGGTGGAAGCAGATGGCGGGCTCAAGGGCACCTTTGATGGGGAGCTTCTTAAAGCTCCCTTGGATGTCAAGGGTGTCCTCCTACCCTTTGTGCTCACCCTGCCTGAGAGACTGGACAAAACAGGGGACCAGGAGGGCTCCCTCCCACTGTGAGGTGGCCAGCCTGTCTCTGTTTTCCCAAGAGGGGAGCGGGATTGCAGCTGTGGGGGACCACAAACTTCCCCCTGCAGAGGGGCCCCTCTCTGGCATGTCTGCAGAGAGAAGGGGCTCTCCCTTTCCTCCTCTCTGCTCCCAAGATGTCAAACTGGAGCTACTTGGTTGTAACGCATCTCATGTTTGCTGTGCTTTGTGTGAAAAGCCAAGCACATGAAAGGAAAAGCTGCTATAAAGGATAACCTCTGGATTATGTTTGTGCCAATTCCCAATCTGAGGAAAAAAAACTTCTTTGCACGTGGATTTCTAAAAAATTCCTGACAACAGTGTCATAATGGGACGTTACTGATAGTGTTGGTTGCGTGTTTACACGTAGTTGCAGTCTGGGCTGGAGCTTTTTCTGCCATTTGTTTTCTTTCTCTCTGGGGTGATACTGAGGGATAAACACTGCTGGCAGCATAGCTTAGCTGCATTTGTTTTTATGTTAAGCCAACTATTTCCTGTGCTAGAGAAGTATAGGAAGAACACCTCCATCACAGCCTTTCATTTCTAGTGCAATAGAGGGTTTAAGGAAGATGTGGCACTGTGTGGTCCCAGGAATTTCGACCACGAATGATTTAACAGATACCAGACTTAAAGTTTTAAGTAACACAGATGTGTGCCACATGTTTATGTTTGAAATAAACAAAAATAAACAGAAAAAGGCAAGTTACCTTTTTAAAATGTGGCATATCAGATATGAAATGTTGATATGTTCTTTATTTGAAACAGGCAGTGGTTTCTGTATAAAAGACATTTTATTACCTTTTTTTATCAAAGATTTTAAATTATAACAGAAATGAACTGAATCTGTTCAGACTGCAACTGATTGACATGACCATGTATGCCAGTAGAGTTGGGGGAAGTATTTTGTTACTTCAGCTGCTCTTTAATTAACTGCAGTTCAAGGAAGATTAACCTAAACCAAACGTGAATTCTTTGAAACTGACTGCAGACAGCTTAAATATTTCACTGTATGTTAAGTATCCTGTGGCAAGAGGTTTTCCAACTTACTGCAAGACCATCAGCAGAGGACATGGAAGACAGAAATGCGCTACACATGTTGATTGTACTGTGCACTAGCATGATGCTATTTCCCTATCTTTTGGTTAAGAGACTGCTTTATTTATTTTGATCCAATGATTGGTGTAATCAGTAAGTCCTTGTTAACTGCAGTGCGCGCTGACGGTGTACACTGTCATTGGGATTCTGAACCACCCAAGAGCGCTGTTTGTGGAGCAGCATCCTAATGAGATGAAACCATACAAAGCTTCTTGCTGCCTGTGGGAAGTGGGAGCATACTTTTTGTCATGTTGCTGAGAACTGGAAAAGTGTAAACTGTCTAAACTGTCTATGCAGACAGACTATATTGACAAGGGCACATGCATTTGTTTTATACATTTTATATAAGAAAAAAATCAATAGGCAAAGCAAATGTTTTATCTTTATGGTAAATCACTGAGAAACCTTGTCTGAAAAAAAAGAACCAGTCTTTTTGCTGGTATATTGCTGTATATTCAGCCTGGAACTGGCACGCACTGTGGAAAGGAATTGTTTATATTCAAAGCTCTAACATAGATTCAGAATATTTTAGAATGACATAGAGACATTACATCAAAGAAAGCAGATCTTCTTAAGTTTTATAATAATGTTTCTGTTAAACAGGACATTACCATTGCTATACGTTATTGCTAGTTCCAAAGGAAGGCAGCAGGCTCTGTCCTAAGAGACACCATCTTCACAAAGAAGAATAGCGCGGTTTATAGATACTTCTTCCCTTCACTTTCATGTGTTTTTTTTCTTCTTTTTTTCCTTTTCTCCATCTGTCTTGCATGGGGGTTTAGTGCAGCTGAGCTGGTTATCCATCCTGTAGAAAACAGTGGTCCACCTCTAAAAGTTCTTAGCCAAGCGAGCCTATTCCGTAGTTAGCAACTTAAAGCATCAGCCAGGTAGGAGCTGTATGTAGGCCTGCAGAGTGTGACTCTTACCTTAGTCTCAGTACAGGTTGGTGCAGTGGAATTTAATACCACTCATTGAATGATGGACTTAATTTGCAGACAAAAATCCTTGGAAATGTTGGCTCTAAATTAAATTACAGCATTGTAGCTTGAGCAGGAGAGAAAATCTGTGTTTGCCTTCAACATAGTTTTTATGTTAGCTGTAGAAAGTATTTCAAGCTGTGTAGTGAAACACTTAGGTGCATACTTGAACTAAAGACATAAGCACTGGTCCAGATTTTGAATTAGCAGAGTCACCAGGAACACACAAGGAAATGTCTGTTTTATGTTACAACACAATACAATTTTATAGTTCAAAGTACTACGTAGTATGTAGTTCTTACACTGCAGCATAGTGATGAATCAAGCCAGCTGTTGCATTCCTATTAATTAAGCATTAGTTAAAATGAGTTTTGCGAAGTCTCCATGATTTAAGCTGCAAAAATATGCCACAGAACTGTAGAATCCTAGAATGATTTGGGTTGGAAGAGACCTTAAAGCTCATATAGTTCCAACCCCTGGCCACAGGCAGGGAAACCTTCCGCTGGATGAGGTTGCTCCAAGCCCCTGTGTCCAGCCTGGCCTCAAACACTGCCAGGGATGGGGCAACCACAGCTTCTCTGGGCACCCTGTGCCAGTGCCTCACCACCCTCACAGGAAGGAATTTCTTCCTAAAATCTACTCTAAATCTCCCCGTCTTTCAGACTTCCAGGAAAAAATGAAATATATCCTTTCTTCCAGTATTTCTTGCTGTACACCATGAAGAAATACTTGGAAATAATCTTTATAGTAATAAGCATTCTATGAATCTGCAGCGGTTAGTATTTTTGCTAGCTCCTATTATTAGAAAAGGTTGAATCAAGTGCTTAGCTGCTTTCACTGTTTACACTGTGTAAATGAGGGCAGAGTCTGGTCTTCATTAGTAGCTGTCTGTCAAACCTGTTTCCTTTGTGTGCTCTTTGCATAATCACAGCCTGATGATTGACAAGAGGCATGTTGCTAGCCAGATTTCCTACTCTGTGGCCTCTGTTTCCTCCCTGGTGAGCCTGAGGCAGGTTTGCTGAGGGTTGTTTTTTTCTCCCATATACATCTTCAGCATATCCAAAAATATCCTCTCCAAACCTGGGTACTAACACTAGAATTTAGAAATTCAGGCCTTTGAAAATGAACATTGTCATACCAGAACTCTTCACAACCACTGTCCCTTTGACATGTGAAGGTTCCCTTCTGTCCATACAGAACTGCCCAGCTCTGAGCAGTTACCCACCTACCAAGCTACCGCCTGAACTCCTTTGAGACTAGATGATGTGATACCTGGAAGCTTCTGGTGTAGTATGGTTTTATGGTGCCAGCTAAAGGGCCAGCCCCGCCCCCCACCCTCAAATTGTGTTTGCATATATTTTGCTTTTAAAACAGAGCTATTTTATCTAATACCCCAAAGACTACTATGTTTGCATAGGAACATAAAATCTCAGAAATTGTCCAGGTAGGGGAATTCAAACCCTCATCCTCACAGTGTGATCTGAAACTAGCTAGAGAGACATAGTCCTCTCTATTGTCTTGTCTTCTCCATGAATCTAGTCCCCTTCTCCCACTTTTAATAGGATGTGCAGAAGAGTTTTCCTGCTTCCTCCACCCTAGAGTACTCCTGTTTTCATGGTTGTCTGCCACAGAATGCTGGCTTGAATTGCCTCAAGCTGAGTAAGGACTGAACTCAGGCCTCCCGCTTCATGTGTGTGTGTTCTCAAATCAGGATGACTAGAAGAAGAGTGTTGGGACCACCTCCTTTGGCTCTTTTTCTGGGATGAACCTCATGCAAATTCTCCAAAAGCACACATAGGCTCCTGCACAGTGAGTTCTGGGTAGATTCCAGGCTCCAGCTCTTGGGTGGGTAATTCAGGATACATTTAGTACATGCTGGTGCAATTGGGCAAGTTTTCTTGTCGGGACAGCTTTTCCAGGGTCTGTATTTTGAGTTGCCAGTCTGAGGCGGGGACTCCAGGCACTGTACTGGGAGGTCAAGCAGGTAATTGGGGTTCTTGTCAGGGCTGACACCTTGGTAAAGAAGCATTGCAGTGCCTGACATGGAAATGCTGAAAGCCTTCATCACATCTAAAACTAAATCCTTGCTTCAATGCAGAAACAAGCCGTCTTAGCAAATGCTAATAACAGATGGGACATAAGTATTTCCATCATAGAAAGAGATCTTAGTTGCAACAAAGGCACGTGTACAAATTCTTTTTAAACTTGGAAACTAAGTCAAAGGAATAATTGTCAAAAAAATAACCCTATTTGATGAAAACAGGCACTGTTAAGCAACCTGCAAGGATGCTGATCATACCCTATTCATGAATACAGTTGTGCAGTAGCTGATGTAAATTCTGTCCACAAAAAAATTCTTTGTAAATAAATACCTGGTAAAATTTGAAGTGATAAAAGAATAAATTATTCATATGAAAGCTGTAACTCTTCTGTGCTGTTTGATTGGCTCTCAGAGTGTTGTATCCCCATTATTGCTATTCATGAGCAGCTATTATTTTTGCAGCTTTCCAGGATCCATTCCATTGACTGCTCCATAGCTGTGTTACCCTTCATTATCATTGAGCTTGACAGTGGTACTAGGGTGATTTGCTTTGTGTCTGCACTGACATGTAGGGCTCTCTACTTGAATGAACCCAGAAGATTCAGACAGAATTGTATCTTTGGGCATTTTTTTTTTGGTGGCATTGCTCCTGGGAAGCTCAAGAAAGCACAAGAAGGGAAATAGTGGTACCCTTGAGCAGTTGTAGTAGCAAGCATTTAATCAATTTGGTTTTTTGTCTGCCATTGCTCTGTGCACCAGATTTTCACTAGATTTAACAGAACATCTCTGTGTAGCTGTTAGGAGTATGAGCCTGAGTACTATTGTAGCAAAGTATGTTTTTATTTAAGTATATTTACTGCCTCAGCTCCTACTCTGAGATA